ATAGAGGTAGCAAATTAACCGCGCTATCTGTCATCTTTTTTTTATATCACTTTAGCCCCTAGAAAGGCAACCAAATAGGCGTAAAGGGAAAACACTCTAACATAGAATTTAGCACCCAATCAGATGCAGGAGGCTAGCATCTTTAACATAAAACCAGATATCTAAACAGCTGCAGAAAGCCAGTATCAACAATATAGAATTTATCATCTAAACGAATTAGAAATAAGAAGAAAGCAGATACCATTAGATTATGACATCACCATTAAATTAAAGCATTACATCCACCATTATACTATGAAGTCATCACTATATTATACAGGAAACAGTTAAAATAATGTTATAAATACAAAGGAGATACCTGTATGTAGGTTATGAAGTCATTATCAGATTGTGATATTAGGTTATGAAATTACCACTAGATTATATAATTAGATTATGAAATTACCAGCAGACTATGAAGCTACCACTATATTATGAAACTACTAGCAGACTATAAAGTTACTATTATATTATAAAGATACTGGTAGACTATGGAGTTACCATTATATTATGAAGATACCAGTAGACTATAAAGTTACCTTCATAACTTAATCTAAATTACCAGCAACTTCATAATATAATTATATTATGAAGTTGCTGGCGACTAATTATCTATCTATAAGTTTTATCTTTAATTTCTATAATATTCTTAATATGACAAAGAACTTTTTTTAAAAATAGTACTTATAAGTATTTTTAAATTTTAATTAAGTTATAACTTAATTATATTATAAAGAAATTTAATTATACTATAAGTTACACTATTTTTTTAATTATGATGTTCTTCTTTAAAATTTTTTAATATTCACTATTGAATTAAAATTAATATTAAGAAGATCAACAATAAAAATTTTTAGAATATTAATTTCTTAATCTATAAATAATTTTTAAGTAATACTAATTCTTAAGGTAGTAAGTATTTTATTTTTTCTTTTAATATTATAGTTAATTGATTATTCTGAATTACCTTTATTTAATTTAGAAAATATGTTATTTTAGTAATTTTATTAATTAATATAAGAGACAATTTTTATAATTAAAGTAAACTTACTTTTGATTATTAATATTTCACTTTTATAATTAAGATACTGTTTATCATAATGATCATTTGATTCTAAATTATTTATAAAAGAATTAATAACATTAATTATAAATAAATTTTCTTTATATAATAACTCAAAAATTTTAGTAAATAAAAGTATAATTCTTGATTTATTACCTTTTGCATTTCTAATAAAATTTTAAAAATTTTTGTATTGTAATAATTAAGAAAATTAAATATCTAAAATGAATTAATATATTAAATATAATTTTAAGAACTTTGCAGTAAAAAAAGAAAAAAATTTTTTGAATTAATATTAAATCTAAATTTATTTTACTAAACAAATAACACTTAATTTATATAGTTAAAGCTTATTATAGTGAACTTCTGGTTTCATTCAATTTTATTTACTATAATGAATATTTACAAAAATGAAAATTTTTTTATAATGAATATCTTATAAATAAAAAAAATTTTTCTTATAATATGATTTTTATGTAACTTTATTATTTTAAGCATATAATAATATATAAAATCATATAATATAGACTACTTTACATTATCTTGAATATACTTATTAATTTTTAATTTTAAAATATTAAGATTTTTCAATTCTGTATAATAAATTAAAATATTATTAGCAGATTTTTAAAATATTGAATAATCTTTTTTAAGTTACTTAATGCTTTTTTATCAGTAATAATATTTATTTTCAATTTATTATTCTCTTCTATATATCTTTTTTAGAACTTGAAATTACTATAGCTATAATTATTTTATCTAATAATAATACTACTGGTATTTTATTATCAATATGAATAAATTTTTCAACTATAATAAGATTTTGTAAATTTAGTTCATCAATCATTTGTTATAATTCTAAAATAATTTATCAATATCATCACTATTAAAAATATTATCACTATTATCGAAATCATTTTTCCAGTATTAGATAAAATACTTGTTTTTTTTTAATAATTTCTAATTGTATTTGATTTTACAACTTTTCATATTTTGTTTACAAATATTATAATATCAAAAATATCAATTAATGTTATATTAGAGTTATTTTCTTAAGCTATATCATATACTTCTACTTTATTTGCAACTAATAACTTTCTATATTAAGTCTAAAATTATAAATATATTATATAAATATATATTAAAAATTTAATAATTTAATTATTATCTTAAAACTATTGATAATATCAGTATTTAAGAGTTATAAATAAGTAGTATATTAGGAAAAAGAAAGTATATATTAATATTTGATAATTGAATTCCACTTATTAAATGTGTAAACATATTATTTGCTAATAATAATATATGCTAATTTTGCTATATTATTATGATCCAGTGCAAAAAGATATATACCTCAAAAAATCGTTAATAAAAAAAATTTTATTAATAAACTTCTTTTTTTTTCTTATTTAAATTTTATCAGTACATATTCAGAAATATAAAATATGAATATTAGGTATTATAATCAGAATTATCATAGTGATTGGACTCATTATCAATAATTGTACATTTTTATCAGACTTAAGATATTCCTTAACGATTTTAAGCGCTTTTCTCTAAAACCTAACTACAACCTTCAAATTAATTTTTTTTTAAATGCACTTAGAAGTGTATTTTGAATAGATAAAAGGTTTAGATGTAGATCTAACCTTATAACTTTGCCTTTTATAACAGCTTAAATACCCTAAATTAGCTGAAATTCACAGTGATAGGGAGGGGTAAAAAAAACTTGATAATTGTATTGTTCTGCTATTTTAATACAAGAAAATGTCACCTTTTCTTTGTATACTTTAATAAGTTCTAAAAGTTCTGGTCTTCGTAATTCATTAGAAAAAGCAATATTATGAGCAGTTAACCAATTGGCTATTTCTTTTTTTTGTGCTTGAAGTTGAAATGCTTTCAGCTTGTCGTTTATAATATCTTGCTCTATCTATGTGAATGTTTATTAGCCTATACTTTTCATGAAGTGTTTTACAAAGTGTCAAAAAAAGGTTTTCAAAAATTTCTACATTAAAGTTTCTATGATAATCCACTTGATTAGAAACAATGTTAGCACTTTTGACAACTTCAGGAATATCATCTCATCCTTTAGCATTATTTCTTTTTCATCTTCGACTTTCTAAAGGTTTAATTGTTAGATCCCAAATATGAACAGAGTTGAAACAAGTTCACCGCATAGTTTATTAGAAGGTCCATTTCAGAATACAATAATTGCTTCAAAAATTATTACCAATAGACTATGTCCAGGTATTAAAATAACACCTTGATGAGAAACCAATGTATTACGAGAAATATAATGTAAATGGCAATATGACTCATCAAGAAAATCTTCTGGATAACGTGAAACATTATTATTGCCTTCTAAATTAGCAAAATGAAATTGAAGATAACGACAACGAAATGCAACATTATTTGGAGATTCATGAAGAATATTTCTTCATTCTCCTTGACCATAATAATATTCTAAATGATGTAATAGCCAAAGAAGCTGCTATTTAGAAAATGTATATCCTTGTTCAGAAAGATATTGACATAAAATAGGTGTAGAAATTTGCTCAGCCGTTTTGTTAGCATTTAAAATTTTCACACGTAAAAGTTCTGAAACATTCTTATTAAATTGAGATTTTGGTCTTCCAAGAGTTTTATGTGGCATAAAAGTACTGTTGTTACGTTTTTTCTAATCTAACATCACCTTCCTAATTATACACTCAAAAATGCCCAATACCTCAGCAACTCACTTATGTAATATAAGCTTCTGATGGTCTCTTCCTACAGAACTAACCTCAGAAAAATAATTATAAAGGTTAATTATCATCAATTTTTCATTGTTTGTTAATAGTGTAGCATTTCGTTTTAAAGGAGAAGAGGATATGATACAGTGTGTAATGAAAAAAATAGCGGTTGATAAAATAATATTTTTTTACAAATAAAACATAGAAATTTATAATGTCGATCATAAACAAATCATTAATTTAATATTTCCAAATTTAGAAAAACGCATTTTTAAAAGTAAATTTTTTTATTTTTGTTTATTTTTATGTTATTTTCTTTGCAACGATGGTTAATACAAAATTAGAAGCTCAAAGACAAACAATTTGACATTACTGGCTTAATAGTATTAATTCAGCAAAGGAAATACAAAAAAAAACTGGTATTTCCCTTCGTACTATTGAGCGTAATCTTAAAAAGCTTAGAGAAATAGGTAATATCAATCATCAGTGTAATAATGGTCAGAAATCAAAGGTTATACTAATTATATCCCAGGCTATTGGGCAATATATGCACAAAAATACTGCAATTTCGACCTGTCAACTTGCTGCAAAAATACAAAATACCTATAATATTTCCATTTCACATGAATCCATCTAGAGACATATAAAAAAAAGAATATGAAAGTTCTGTTCCATTAGCAACTCCAATGCTCACAAATCGGTATATTAAAATATGAAAAGCATGGGCATAAGTACATTTAAATGATAATTAGGATCAGACAATATTCACTGATGAGACAGCATTTGACCTTTTTCGAAATAAGGTCAGTCAATAGCATAAAAATGGTAAAAGACCCATCTGGAGGTTGCCAAAATCTCGTTAAAAAGTGATGGCATGGGGAGGAATTTCAAAAAAAGAAAAAATACCTCTCTTTTGTTTCACTAATATTATGGATGGGCCATTTTATGTAAGTATATTGCAGAACTAGCTTCTACCTGCTGCAAGAAATATGTATAGAGAAAACTGACGTTTGTAACAAGACAATAATCTGAAGCACACTTTACATATTGCAAAGGAGTTCATTGCTAAAAATTCGATTCGTATTATTGATTGGCTATCCAATAGTCTAGATCTTAATCCTATTGAAAATATGTGAACGATCGTCAAAAATAATGTTGAAAAGCGGATGCCTCAAAATATTAATGAGTTGACCAAATTTTTGGTTGAAGAATGGGATGCAGTTCCTCAATCAACAGTGAATAATTTGGTTATGTCCATGAAAACCAGATGTGAAATGGTTTTAGAAAAAAACGGCGATAGAATATCGTATTGAAATTTTTTTATCTAATAAAGGAATTGATCGGCTTTTAAATAAATTTAAATTCATTCAAATCGGATAGGTAGTTTTTGAGATATATTGCTTTTTGTCACCGCCATTTTTTTCATTACACACTGTATAACCTACTAAATTTTTTTTATAAATAAATTAGAGATTAAAGATTAATTATTAATATATTAAAATACTGAAATTTGTAAATTGTTAAATTAACTGACTAACCCAAGAAGTTTTATATTCAAAATTTGAATTAATGACCATAAAATTATAGTAAGTATTTGTAACATAGTGAATTTTAAGAATTAGGTATATTAAATCTGCATATGTGAAGTCTGATAAATATTGCTGTGCTATTTCAAAAAAGTATTCATATGCTTTGCTACTATGTATCCAAGATAATAATAGTATTATATTGTAATATTCTTGATGTGCTATAATAAGTAAAATCTGTAATAATAAAATAATCATTATTATTTATAAACATTGATTATAAAAAATTAAGTTCATATAATACCATTGAATCAATAAGAAAAGATAATATCTTATAAGTTTAATATGCTAAAAAATTATGATTATTTGAAAAAATCTCTTCATATTTATTTACTGCATTTTGAATATATTGTTTAGGAAAAAATTATCTATCATAACCATTCTGATTCTTTCATGATTAGAAATATTTCAGTTAAGACATGAATCAATTAATTCTTCTTTTAAAATAATAAAAAAACAAAATATTAATAATTTATAATAATAAGTTTAATATAAATAATAAATTAAAATTTAATTACTAATAATAAACAAATAAATTAATAATTCTTATTTTTAAAATTAATATTTAAAGTTTGAGAAACTTCATATAAAAATTCATGAAAAAAAAGTTGATATGCAATGCTATCATCTTATTTATCAACATTTAAAACATCCTCATGATATAGAGCAGAATTTGGAGATTTAGACAATTATAAACTTAAAAAACTATCTCTAAAAATTAACATTTATGCATCACTAAAAATATTATTTTGTTCATTTTTTTTATGTGTTTGGATCTGAAATACAGATAATAGAACCAACATTTGAAATTATAAAACAATATAATTTGATATCTGCAGACCTTGTTAAAGTCTCTGAATATCATCTTTTAGCTATTTCATACTGAATATATCATATGACTGTATATAATACTGTAGTCATGTAATATACCTGACCTTGTTTGCTTGAATTAAAACTAAATAAAAGTATGTTTGGTTTGTTTATTTTGATTTTTAACTAAAATAAAATTTTACCTTTCAAAAACTACGAAAATTTTCAAAGAATAATACAGCGGTATAAAATTTGCCATCAACGTGGTGATTGTTATTGGGTTATTACCACAAATACTAGTTGTGAATTTTTAACAGTATTTAGAACTTTAAAAAGAATAGATGACACCAGAACTATTAATTTGAGGCTTCATTCTGGTCGACCATCCTTAATTAAAGATTCACAGTAAAGCTAGCTGAAATGATTTGTTGTAGCAAATTTAAGCTGTGATAAAGCAAATAAAGGTCTGACTAAGTACTAATTATTTAGTACCAAATTTGTAATATATCGTACATTAATAATAAACTTTAAAATTTTAAGTTTTACATTGAGCCAAAAAGCGTTCAGAGACTTTTAATAGAGTCTGTAAATAAAATAAATTAATAATAAAGAAATAAAGAATTAAATAACCGATACAAAAAATAAATTAATTTTATATACTATATAATTCATCAATAAATTTAAGTTTAGTTTCAGTATTGATTTGTATAATATTTTTTTGAGCTTTAATTTCTATTAATGCACTATCAGCTTCAATTGATAGTATATAATTTTAAATGTATAGCAAATTCTAAAACTTGATTGTAAATTTCATATATATGAGATATATTTTTGATATTATTTGGAATGATTCCAAGTATAAATAGTGATACTTTAGGAATTAATACTTGTAAAATATATACATAGCTATTGCATTATTAGTTTGAATCATTTTTATAATAGTATCAATTTTGTTATAAAAGGATATTAATGTTTCTTATAATAGTAATATAGACCTAAAATTACATTCAAATTTATAGAATAACGTAATTTTTCTTTAAGTTTTGTATTGTCTGTTGATGTAGTGATTAGTCTATTATAATTGATGCTATTTAAGAATCTTTTAAATTTAGCTATATTTTCAAAGCATATTGACGGATCATCAATTGTTAAATCTAATTATGTATATTATACACTAAATTAAAAATAAATATTAAATTAAAAATTTTATGTATCAATTTTATGACAAAATAAACTATTTACCAGATACTTTAGATTATTCTTTCTGCAAAATTTTTTTGAAAAATAGTATATGTTTGTAAACTACTATTTGCTAAAATAGTTAAAAAATTAGAAAATTATTTAGGATATTTAATATTTTGAAGGCCTTTTCCTTCATTAATACGTTTTATTATTTCTATAAAAATTTCACATAATCCAGAAAAAATTTGTTTATCTTTAAAGACTTCAGCTCATCTAATTCTTATTAATTGATTCTAAAATTTAGTGGCACAATCTTCTAGATTATTAAAGTATCCTAATAATTCTATAACATTTGCATTTTTACAATATTGATAAAATGGTAAATTATTATAAAGAACTAAAGGAGTGTGTTTGTGATTTTTTTCTTTAGAAATTGATTTATCAATTGCATTCTATTATTAAATAATAATATACCATTTGTAAGTAAATAATAATAAGTATATATTATTATTAAGTATAATTTATTTATAAAAGATTACTTAATTACCAAAAAAACTTTTGATGTTTTCAAATCAAAACATTGCTTACAAAATTGATTAATTTCTTCGATATATGTTAAATATTTAGTACTTCTAATACAAAAGTAGTGCTATCATTTATCTATTTTACTCATGATCATAAAGTATCTAAAAGCTAATCATTTTCTTTTTTATCTAAATCTTTCCAATGAAATGGTAATTTGATTTTATTTTCAAATAATTCTCATATTATAATCTTCAGAAGTAGTGTACCACTAAATGTAATTATCAAACCTACATAATGTAAATATAATTTGACTTTTTTATCGTTTAATCTAATATAAAGTTTTCTTTTTTTTAAAATTTCTGGACTTTGATTTGAAAAAAATTGTATAATCTTAAAGTTTTTATCATAACTTTTACATATTTTATTTTTAATGTGACAGTCAAGAGATCTGGATCATAATTTCTATCAAAATAAACTTTTTTACTATATATATATATTTTAGTTTTTGGATCAATAATTGATCTAACTTATAGATATTTTGAAAGTGTTAATTTTGTATGTTTTATTTTATAAAGTAATTTTTAATATAAAAAAATTTTAGATATTATCATATGATTTAGAAAATTAATTTTATTTTTTTTCTTTCTCTTTATTAATGTAATAATAATTAAATTTTTTATACATTGTAATAGATTATAATTTAGATTATTATAGTTAAATAATTTACCATATATATAATAGTAATAATGTAACACTAGTCAAAATAGTCCAAATCAGCTAAAAATCAGATGGTTGATTTTAAGCTGATTTTGATACTATTTATAGCTGATTTACCATGCTTTCTAATTGGTACAAACAGGTACTGATAGATACTAATTGACTCTAATTAGATATAGCCATTTGGCATCAATTCAGAATTTAAATTCAACCATAAAACAGTCTAAAATTGGTCTCAATTCAGCAATAATTCAGATGCTGATAGAGACCAATTGATTCCAATTAGACATAGCCATTCAGAACTTAAATTTAACCATAAATCAGCCTAAATTTAACCTTAATTCAACATTATTTAGCATTAATTCAGAACTTAAATAATATAAATTAACCTAAAATTAATCTCAATACAGCATTATTCAGCATCAATTCAAAACTTAAATAACCATAAATCAGCCTAAAATTGATCTCAATTCAACATCATTTGGCATTAATTCAGAATTTAAATAATCATAAATTAGCCTAAAATTTGGCCTTAATTTGGTATTAATTCAGTCAATTAAGCATATAAAATCAATATATTATATTTATTAAATTTATTAAATATTATAATCTTATTAATAATAAAAACCTAATATAATTTGCAAAAACATAACATAAATATTACCAAAACTCACTGATTAATTTCCTATTTAAAAAGTATAAGTAAAAAATAGAAAAACTATGTAAAATAATAAAAATATAATCCATTTTCTTTCTAAAATCCCTTAAATTATCTTAAATATTCATTATAGTAATATTGCTATTTTCAAAAAAAAGAATAAAAAATCAGAAAAATTGACTAAAATTCAATTTAATTTTCATCTGATTTGATAGTTAAAGACATATTTCTATTATAAAAGTAAAAAAAAATCAGAAAAATCAACTAAAATTCAACTTAAGTTTCATATGATTTTGATAGTTAGAGGTATATTTCTATTATAAAAAGTAAAAAAAATCACAAAATTCAACTTAAGTTTCATTCAATTTTGATGGTTAAAGGCATATTTCTATTATAAAAAGTAAAAAAAATCAGAAAAAATAACTAAAATTCAACTTAATTTTCGTCTGATTTGATAGTTAGAGGTATATTTCTATTATCAAAAGTAAAAAAAATTAGTTTATTTTTGAAAAGTTGACTAAAATACAGCTTTTTCTTTTTTGATTTTGATATTTAAAAATAAAAATTGACTAAAATTCAACTTAAGGTCTTTTTGTTTTAGGACAATTTTTTTTCAGGATTTTGATAAAACATAAAAAGAGAAAATTTGAAAATAATTGAAATTATTTTTTAAAAAGTTAAAAAATTAAGCTCATTTATATAAATATTCTTATATATCAGAAATAAACTCAAATAGTACATTAAATCAATATTATTTTAGCAAATTAGTTTAATCTGAAAGTTCAGTTTGTTGAAATAATAATACCATCATCTCTAAGAAATGATAAAATAATTATTCTATAGAAAGAATAAAACTATTATCCCTAAGAAATAATAATTCTATTATATCTTAGAAATAATAAAATT